TACCCCCATGAATTCAGCCAATCGTGTCAACTGTATTGCTAACTGTTGATTAGTGTGGGTTGTGTTTTGGATCAATGGTTGAAATATTTCTCCCATGGTTTGAGACAGAGTCTGAACCATTTGCAAATTGCTTTCATCCATTTGCTGCCTTAAGCATGCAACAGAGGTATTGGTCAAGTTAGGACCCTGTGTCGAATATCCTAGGCTTGAACCTTGGGGATTTTGACCGACGTTCACGCCAGACCCTGATCCTTGTAATGGCGAAGCCATTGCATGATCTGAGAATATGGGGGACGCATTTTGGAGCCCTTGCATTACAGTTGTGGGCATCCCATATGGGGGTTTCTTGGTGACTGTGAAAACTCGGGAGGAGCAAACTGTCTAGAAGTCGAACTTCCTCCCAACGGTATTTGAGGATTCGACATCTGAGGCCCAATATATTCCAACACTAGTTGACTATAAGGTCTTATCACGGTCGACCCAGTCCCAAGTACTGAGGGTGTTGGCTCTGGCCTCACAGGATGCGATGTTTGTTCACTTGTTGACGGTATCGAAGGCGGGACTACGTCGTTCCCTGTTCTTTCACTAGAACCGTCTCCTTGGGGGTTAGGATTATTTGGCTGATTTGCATCTGTCGCCATATTCCTAATGTTTCATCTTGTCAGTCTTTCTTCGTTTACAACGGTAATTCTACCACTTCTCAGTAACATAAAATGCACTTTTCACGAACAGACCAATAAGACTATAATTTCTACAAGTTTTGATTATATGAAGGAAATTCTTTTTAGCACTGTCCCACTGGGTGTGCCATTTTGTTTCCCTTGAAAATCGGAAAACAACCGATGATCTTCCAAATCTAACTTTGGTGACTCACAGGATCGATCAGATTGATCCTAGGACATATGCTAAAAGGTTTTCTTTGGACATTTATCTAAGTTTTACATTTTTGACAATATTTGGGAGAAGGTTCTAAAGGTTACCTATTCGACTATAGGAAAAAAAGTACATAAAGTTCTAACAAAGAAAAGATACAAGTTTTAAAAGAAAGAAGTTGAGAATGAGGACGAAGTAAAGAGGGCATAGAAAGGGGAGAAGATTGCAAGAAAGATAAAGAAATCTTTGTAAAATTTAAACAAACAAAATAAACTTCATTGGAAAATAAAAGGTGGTGTGTTTACATCACGTACATTCTCTTTGATACTCTCTTTCTCTACACTCGGATACTTGGAGTAAGTTTAAGAGTGACTTGTACAACAGTAAATTTCCCACATCATTCTATGTCTAAGACTTCCTATTTATAATAGCAAGAAATAACTACCAATAACTTCCTACATCACCATCTTTTGCCACTTGTCGTGATGCATGGATCCGTCGCTCACAGGGCGACATGTGTCCTCTTAGTCATCTGGCGAACGGAACCATTCCCTCCAATTTATTTGAATTTCAAATCTTCGGGATAACTACCAAACAACGTCGCGGTCAAAGCCCTCGTGGTTTTTCTTTAAGTTTGGTACGTGTTTCGACTACTCCCCCTTAGACGTCTCACATTCTTCGACCAGCTCTCGTCTCCAGCAGGCTTTTAATGCTTCCCCTTAGATCTCTTACTTTGAAAGAGGTGTCAAATTTAGGAGCTAACAGTTTCACCTTTCTTTTTCTCAAACCTACCATCTTTCTTTGACGATTTCCCTTTTACGGATAACCCTTATGCTCCTTTCTTTCGTTCAAATCCTTTGAATGCAAGGCTGCTTGAACTTCTTCAAAGATCAGGGACTTTCTTCCATACAAGAGGATTTCTTTGAAGTGAGCATGCATTTTTGGTAAAGAACATGACAATAACAATGTTTGATCTTCATCATTAATGGTAATACTAATATCAATATTTTTAAGATCAAGAATTAGCTTGCTGAACATATCCAGCTACTCTATCAACACTTTATCTTCAGTCATCTTGAATGAATACAAAGCTTGCTTCAAGCACAAACGATTCACCAAGGATTTTGTCATATACAATCCTTCGAGTTTCAGCTAAACACCAGCCTCCGTCTTCTCCTTTGAAACCTGCTTGAGAACTTTATCACCAAGACTCAGAATAATTGCATTGTCGGCTTTCTCGATCATCGATGTCTTTTCCTTCTTTGTCAGTGCAACATCCATGGCATCTCCTCCCTTTAACTCTTCTAGCAAAACCTGTTGAACAATAAGGGCTCGCATCTTCAAACACCATAAACTGAAATCATTAACTCCGGTGAAATTCTCAACTTTAAACTTTGTTGACGACATCTTCTCCATGCTTACCGCACCAGTTTGTTATGATCACAAACGATACCTTTCAACAAATCAAGATTAAAAAACGGAGTTATTGGGTGAACAATTAAATCAGTTATAACAAGGAGAAAAAAAAGAAAGGATAGAGAAGAAAAAAGAAGAAGGATTAGGGCAAATTATTTATTGTTCACTTTCTCATAAGGGTTTACAAATGATTACAAATGAATATCACAATTGACCCCACTCAACAACCTTAGTGATCTAGCCTATATAAAAACTAACTAGTTAACTTACAACCCAAACTAACTAAACAATTGGATCCTTAACACAATGCCCAATGAGACATACATTTCGACAATACATATTAGAGCTGACTTTGACTACAATATATATCCTTCGACTACAACATGCTACCCATCTTCGACTTCATGTTTGTCTCTTGTCGAAACACATGAAAGTTATTCATCGACAGAGTTAGAGTTCGATTCAAAATCTCACATGAATGATTCCCCTCAAGGTAAGGAGCATGCTGCAAGTCCAATGGCGTCTTGTTAGAACAACAAATATCTAGAATGGACACATCTCGAGTTGGAACATGAGTCTTACTCTTGCAAAAATTAGAATATAAGAAGAAATAAAGTAAATTCAGCTTCTCAAGTCAATCTATGTGAGGATCAAAGCTTAAATAATTTATAATTTATGGATGCTACTTAAATCAAGAGGACAAAACTAGGAGGTTAAGATTTGGATGAAGGTAGAAAATTTGCTCAAGAGGCTTCTAAATAGGTTAAATCTTAAAACCATTTTTTCTTAATAATAGGAATGATTTAGTACCAAATCCACGGTGCCTTTGTTCAAGCAATATAGACCCCAAGGTCATTTTGGTAAATGATGAACCATTTTACTTTGCTATAAAGATGGAGGCAATAACTTTGATATCTCTACAATCTATGCATAACACATTATATTAAAATAAAGGATCTTTGGTTAGCATTTGATATTGTTCACCAATTGCATCAGGTTCCTTGGTGTTTATTGGAGACTCCAATGTTATAGAAATTTCCAACTACCTCTTCGTTAGAACTTATCATTAGATAGGACGAAAAGTTGCATAGGGGTCTGTTTGCTTTCTCCATGGATGCGGAATTTCATTATAGACACATATATGTATACTCTAGATTATATTTTAGTGAATGATATTTGTTTCTCTCGTAACACTAATAATTTTTAGGCATGTCCATTGAAAGATATCTACTGACACTCAAGATGGATAGCCTCTAAGAGTCAATTTATGTACTCTTATTTATCGAAACGTGTATTGAGATAGTTTGAGTTTATGCAATCTGTTTTGAGGGATCTCTCCATTGACGTGACTCTTATTATTTATTCTCTTCAACATCTAAACAAAAAATAATAAAATTACTTGCTAACTTGTGATCCAAGACATGGTTGTGTACATCATACACCATAGTAAATTTTCAAACATTTGAACACAACCTAAACATACATCTCAATTTTCTTGATTCAATGTTATCACACTTCAATTTTTTTATTGGCTTCTATATACTCACCGCATATTTTATAGCTCAACACAATAAAACATTTTCTTTTATAACAACTTGAATCAGACATCTCGATAATCACACTAAGACTTAACTTAATAATCTTAAAAAGAATCCATTTAACAACTTGAATCAGACATCTCGATAATCACACTAAGATTTAATTTAATAATCTTAAAAAAAATCCATTTAATCATATTATTTCGTAAAATAAACTAAAATATTTATCAAAATCAATCTCATCAACTACTTTAGAAACATCGAATTCTGGAACACTCAATTTACCGATCTATGATGCACCATAAGATTTTTAGAAACTTGGTTGACAACAAAATACACCATATCTCATGTATTAAAAACAACATTAAAAAAACAAATAAAATTACCATTTACCACAAAGATTCTTTTCAAAGTGATTTGAATACTGGAAAATGATATTGAAAATGATCTTTATGGAGAATTTTTCGCATTATTGTTTAAAGAATAATGAGCAGATAAATTTAAATAGAAGAATATAAAATTATATTATCTGTAATTTGAAATGATGATAAAGATAATAGTGTTGAAAAAATAAATTGTTTATATGCTAAAACACAATATTTGAAAAAGGGTTTAATAGTAATACAGTGACAATGTAAAAAGTTTTTATACTATCATTTAATAAAAATATATTATTTTATTATGTTATATAAATAGTTTAAAATTTCTAATATGACTTATCAAATTATATCATCCTCGCTAGGTGATAATATAAATTAATTTACATTATCAATTATCAATAAAAACAATTAAAAATTTTGTTAAAATTTAAATAAAGAAGTGATAAAAAGATGAAAAGCATTTAAAATTTTGATTATATATACCGAAAGACGCTTTTGGCCTTTTGGGAAAAAGAAATGGAAAAAACTTTTAGAAAGACTTATCTAGGGATTTTTGAGAAACAAACAAAGAGATTGAGATTCGAGAATTCCCCTTAAACTTTTTCATATAAATTGTATTCGCTCAATTGTTTCTTTTAAATTACCGGCGCTGCAAAGTTTATATTGAAGGAATTCGTTTTCTAAACTTGCCTTCGACCACTATACTCTGCTGTTGTCTCACGCCTGATGCTATGACAACTGACACATCTGTTTCATTACACCAATAACAACCGACTCTCAGGTGTTCGAGGAAATGTCAAACCGAGTTTTCATGAAAAAGGGGTTGCTGACTCTAATGGGCACCCACCTTGTGAAATTTCTACCCAAGCAAAAACAACAAAAATCTCTCTGTGTATCCATTTCCATTCGATCAAAAACCACATCTATCCAATATGTAGAATCACGATATAGAGACCCTACTTTTGAAAAATTCATGGAAAAGTATAAGAATCTTCTCAAAGTCATTGCCATTCAAGACCTTATCCTTGCTAACCCCAAAAACCAATCTATCTCTGTTGATTTCCTCTCCAATCTCTCCCAGAAGCTCCACCTCAACCGCGGCGCCACTGCCTTCCTACGCAAGTTTCCTCATATCTTTCACATTTACTATGAACCTTCCAAGTTGCAGCCATTTTGCAGGTTAACTGATGCTGCTCTTGATGTCTCGCGCCTCGAAGCTGAGGCTATTAATGCTTCTTTGCCTCTTGTTGTTGAAAGACTTGTCAGGATATTGTCCATGTCTGCTTCCAAAACTGTTCCTCTTAGAGCTATTTTCAAGGTTTGGAGGGAGCTTGGTCTTCCTGATGATTTTGAGGACTCGGTTATAGCTGGGAATCCTAGTGTTTTTCAGCTTTCTGATGCAGATGAACTAAATACTCATTTGTTGAAGCTGGTTGGTGATGTTCCCAGCAATGGTTTTAGAGCTTCTGTTGAGGATTGGAGGGTTGTTGAGTGTTGTAAAGAGGAGTGCAATGTTAATAGCATGGAAATGCAGTATAGTTTCAAACATGCGTATCCTCCAGGGATGAGGCTGAGCAAGAACTTCAGAGCCAAAGTGAAGGAATGGCAGAGCTTGCCTTATTTGGGGCCTTATGAGATGGTTAGTGAGAAGAAGAAGACGTCAAAGGCTGGAATGATGGCCATGGAGAAACGAGCTGTGTCCATTGTTCACGAGTTTCTGAGTTTGACAGTAGAGAAGATGGTAGAAGTTGAGAAGATAAGCCAATTTAGAAAATGGTTTGGCATTGATTTAAATATAAGGGATCTGTTCTTGGATCACCCGGGAATCTTCTATTTGTCAACTAAGGGTAAAAGGCACACTGTTTTCCTGAGGGAAGCTTATGAACGAGGGTGTTTGAGACAGCCAAATCCTGTTTATGATGCAAGGAGAAAGCTACTTGATCTTGTAGCTTTAGAACGTCGGGGTTTACCTGCTGTTAATTCCAAGTTGCAGGACAGAAGCAGTGGCAACGAGGTTGAACAAGGGGATAATATGCAAGGCCGTGATATTTTATCATCTTTTGACTAGTTTTCAAGAATCATCATAACATTTTTGCTATTAGTTGTACAACAATACAATTCAGCTAGTATGTAGTGTCACTGTAAAGACTAAAGAGGTGTATTGTGAATTTCCGAACAAGTTTGTTTGAAGTTGATTTCGTTTTGAGTTTAAAATGCATTATATGTGTGTATTTTTTTCTAAAGCTATTTGTCATGTATAATGTATATCATTCCTCCTTTTCTTATCTTGTGATCAATGAACATTTCTGTTCAAATAGGCATAGGGGAAGCTGACAGTGCACCGCGTTGCTAGCATTTTGCCTTCAAAAATGGTCAAGATTGTTAACTACTTGGTAGGGAGATAGTTTTAATTAGATATTTTATTTATTTGATTGTGTTTACTAATTTTGCTTGTATATTCTTATTCTGATTTATTTGTTCACTTTATTTCTTAAGGGTCACCACTCTTTTGGATTGGTGTTGCTGTTGGGAGATCTGCCCTATTTTCATTGCTGAGAAGTGAGAGTCATAGTCAAAACACGGTTTACATATACTAATGTTGGGTTTTTTTCTCTCCACATCTACAAGATTGAAGATGAGTTCCACCGCAAGGCACGGGTGTAAACGGTAGAAATTTTGTATTTTTTATTGAGTTTGTACATAATAGAATAAGATATAAATAGTCTAAAGAGTACAAGTAATTAAAGAAACTAATTAAGTTCTAATTAACTCAAATTAATTCATATATACAAGAAGGGAAATATTCTATATGACTGTGTAAATAAGTATAAATGTATTCATATAATACAACTATAAAATTTGTATTGTTGTCCCTTATTAATGACTGTACAGTTGTGCCTTAGTGGTTGCAGATCAGCAACCAACAATCCCCCTCAAGTTGGATCATAGATGTCTATCATGTCAAACTTGAATCTTAAGTTTTCATAGTTGGTTCTAGGAAGTGCATTGGTCAAGATATCAGTCAGCCGTTTGATGACTTGAGGGTGTGTGCTGAAGAGAAATTAATTCGTTGTCAATCTTCTTGATGAAATGTCTATCAATTTCTACATGCTTTGTCTTGTCATGTTGGATAGGATTTTTAGCAATACTTATGACAACTTTGTTGTCACACAATAGACTTACTTCATGGTAAGTATGAACTTGTAGTTCCGCAAGCATCCTTTGGAGCCACATCCCTTCACAAATCACATGAACCATTGATCTAAATTTTACTTCAGGGCTGCTTCTTACAACCACAAATTGTTTCTTCCTTCTCCATGTCACTAAGTTGTCCCATACAAATAAGCAATACCCACTAGTTGGTCTTCTATCAGTTACTGAGGCAGCCCAATCTACATATGTGAATATTTCTATTTTCCTGCTTGTGTCCTTTTTGAAATGCAACCCCTTCCCTAATGCCTTTTTGAGATATTGTAGAATACGACTAACTGCTTTCATGTGAGTTTCTTTGGGATCATTCATGTAGCGCCTAACCATGCTGACAGAAAAACCAATATCTGGTCGTGTATAGGTTAGGTAGATAAGTCTCCCAACCAGTCTTTGATACATCTCTTTATCAACTGGTGGACTCTCTTTTTTATATCTTATTTTCACATTAAATTCCATAGGAGTGTCTGCTGGCAGACATCTTAACATCCTCGTTTCTTAAAGTAAATCAAGAGTATATTTCCTTTGAGACAAATAAATTCCAAATTTTAATCGTGTCACTTACATTCCAAGAAAATACTTTCTGTAACTTCAAATTCCTTAGCTAGTAACAATTTTAACCCTTTAATTTCAGTATAGTCATCACCTGTAATAATAATTCCATCTACGTAAATAATGAAGATGGTTACCATGCCTTCCTCTGAATGCTTTAAGAACATTGTGTGGTTTGTTTGGCATTGAGAAAAACCATGCATCCTAACTACTCATGTAAGCCTATTAAACCAAGCCCGTGGGGATTACTTGAGGCCGTATAGTGATCTTTTGTGCTTACATACCTTGTCTGAGTTTTCTGACGTCTCAAGTTCAGGTGGTATTCTCATGTAAACATCTTCTTCAAGTTCACTGTTGTTTCCTGTGAAAATTGAAAAACAACCGCTGATCTTCCAAATTTAACTTTGGTGACTCACAGGATCGATCAGATTGATCCTAGGACATGTGCTAAAAATTTTATGTGAACTTAATTTATCAAAACTACACACTTCGAAAGTGTTTTGAGGAGAAGACTTGATGCAAAGGTAATGTTCTCGACTGAAGTAAAAAGGATGCAAGTTTGCAGAAAGCGAAGTAAAGAACTTTGAAAAGTATTTAACAAAGTAAAGCAAAATGCTTAGAAGATGTAGATTGTAGGAAAAGTAAAGAAAAACTCTTTAAAGTTAAGCAAGTAAATTAAATTTCATTGAAAGTAAAGATGGTGTGTTTACATAACGTACATTCTCCTAGAACTCGTTTCTCTACACTCGGATACTTTGAGTAATTTTGGGAGTAACTTGTATAAACAGTAAATTACAACACACTGAATTCTATGTCTATAACTCTTATTTATAATAGTAAAACTAACTACGAATAACTTCCTAAAATCATCAGCCTCTGACAAGTGTCATATTGCATGTAGTCACTTGCTAGATGAACGCCACTTGTCTTTCTTAGTCATGAGAAAGCATAACTACTCCCTCCTTTATTTGAATTTCAAAACTTCATTAATACTCAGCCAACATCTCGGTCGAAGGTAGTTTCCTTAATATTTGGAATTTTTCTCTAAGTCTCAAACGCTTGAATAACCCATCCTACTTGAAGGTCTCCACACTCGAAGTCTTTTACATTTCATAAAGATCTTAATATTATATTCAAATATTTAATCTAAATATGATGCGTCGAATTTGTGAGCTAACAAATTGCCCCCCAAAAATGTCTTTTTCGACCATATTGTAGAAAAAGGACCATTTTTTGACAGCATCCAATTCAACGTCATCTTTCGACCTGCACGTAGGTATCAATACAACTGACTTGGGCCATTATGAGCAATTTCTTGGAACTCTCACAAAATCTTCAGACCATCATCATTCTTTTAGGACCTAAGAAAATTGTGGGTCTAGGCAGTAACTGTCACCGCACCCATCTTCCATCTTGGGACACCACATGGCCCACTATCCCTAGTCCTTAATGATGAATAGTGGCTTTTGACTTACTTCAAAAGGCCTTATAAATAATTTCCCCAGAAATCATGTTAAACTTTTTACCCTTTAGCAAATACTTACGCACCTTCTCCAAACAACTCCCATCTCTCTTAAAAAAAACATGTATTCCCTAACTTCCATCAATGGCGTCTTCCATTGCTACAATTATAGATCAAAAGAGAAAACCTCAATCCAAAGGGCTATCAGTTGCGCCACTCTTTCCTCCTTTCACCGCACTGAGTGGACCCAAGATGGTGAAGAACCAACAGTTCATCCATGAACCTTTGATAGAAGAAAAAAGACACATTTATGAATCTCAGTAATAATCCCTATCACCGTTGCAGGTAAGTCCTTAGCTCTGTCTGGCCCACTGTCTCCATTAGGAACCAACTATTCAACCCTTAGCGATTTTTTCCCTTCTTATCACAAAACAAAACCTCTAGGGCAAAAATATTCTACCAAAGTCCCTACCGAATGTCCAGATAGTTTGACATTACACAATGTGGACCTTAAGTACCTTAATGATGGATCCAGGTTATTCAGAGTCACCCCTTATTTCAAGGATTATGATCTCTACCTGAACTGGCCGACCAAAGTGGAAAAGGTTAAAGCAAACGACTGGTAGGAAACTGATATCTATGATTTAATCATGATGTCAAAGGCCAGTCTAACCTATTGCCCTCTCATGCTGACTTCCTCACTGTGTTTCTAGGATAGCACCCACTATACTTTCCAACTTCCCTGTGGGATGATGACGCCCACCATTTTCGACCTAGCCGTTATCACAGGGCTAAAACCCTATGGGCTAGTATATGATCCTGAAGTGGATTGTCAGGATTCTATAGGAGTTTCCACCACTAAACATACCTACACCCATTTCATTAACCATTACCACAACAAGCAAACAACAACAGTCGATGATCAGGAGCATATATCCTTTCTAGCCATGTGGCTGTCTCGTTGTGTCTTTTGCACAAAATCTTTGCAAGTGGCGAGGAAGTACCTTACCTTGGCCAATCAGCTGCACTTGAATCGAGGCATCTGCCTGAGTGAGATGAGTTTGGCCAGTTTATATGAATCCTTAAGTGAAGGTGCTAGTAGACTAAAGAACAAAGAAAGCAACGGGAACCTGTTACTATCAGGGCCCTTCTGGTTGCTTCAACTGTGGCTCAATGCTACATTTGAAACCAGCCTTCCTAATAAAGAAGAAGTTGATGAAGAAGACTCTGCCATCACAGGAAGACAAGTCGAATGGACTCGATTAGTCAAGCTCACCCCCAGCGAAGAAGGTCACACGCTCAGAGCGAATCTCTCAGGTTTCATTAAAATGTTCGCCAAACACTATGAGTTCACCCCAAGGATGGCTCCTTTTGCAGAGAGGAAGTATGGTTCTGAATGGTTTACCATACCTTTTCCTCCTGCATTCAAAAAACATGAAGAAAAGTCGAAACTTGTGTGGGACGGTTTCTTGATACCTTGATTAATAATCCATAAACTCAACCTCTTAAGAGTTTAGGCAGCTCTGATGGCTTATCAACCAAACCTTGTATCCCGACAATTTGGTTTAATCCAAACGTTGCCTAAATGTTTGTATGACAAGAAATCCCACGTTATCCTCCCCAACACCGTCTTCAGCACTCTTGAGAGTTCGACGCACCTAGCTCGACATGCTCATAAATCCCTTTTAATGTCTGTTTACTTCGAACCCTCTTACCTCTGCTCCCAAGAATTCTACAATTGGTGGTCCAGACACTACACTTCAGAATTTCTTGATGTTTCAAGCTTTGTTCGCTTGATTGACCAGACTTTCATTGATGTGCAGGAAAAGATCAAGAAAGGTACATCC